AGTCTTCAACCACAAGCTTTATACGCAAGCTTTAAAAGTTCAGCTAAAAGACAATTTCAAAATTATCACATTTTCTTTCCCTTACGAAATGGTTGTTTTAAATTTCGAAAATAATATCAAAAATGTTTCGTTCAGACGTCGTTGCATTAACTAGACTGTAGATGTTTATGTAAAATTATGGCTTCAGAAATATACAAAAAGAATTGAAACTTAAATATTAATATTAAGTATTTAGGAATATTATTGAGTATGTCTTGTCTTCTAAACGGTATAAAATGTATATTGTTGTTTATATTTTATATATTTTTGCATTTCTGCACATTATCATAGATTTACTCATATTACAATTTTTCGTGAATGCATGAACATTCACAGTCTAGTAATAACAAACATATAGTTGATATTAACATTGTCCTTTTAACATTTCTACTTAGATCATATTATTGTTCATTTAAAACCAAACTTTTGCCTTATTTAAGATTATTCCCTATCTTCATCAGATTTTGAGAAATTTCATCTCATGAACATGAATATTTTTTAATGCTCTATGTCTGTAACAAGTTTCGTTTAAATCAACGTTTTAAAATTGGGTGATACTCGTTGTCAGAATCGTTGATCAGTTTCATCACATCATTACTACGTATGTTTCGTTTTTTTTTAAATTAAGACTTACGACAGACTATTGTTCAAAATTTTAGTGTTGTAATTAATCTTGAATTTTATACCTAATTGGAAAAGAATTTTTAATCAATTGCTGATATGACTTATGACACAATATTTTGTTCAATCAGCTTCTATTTTTATTTTTTTAATATTCCCTCAAGACGATTGTTTTGTTAAGTATGCTATCATCGAGGAAACGCGACTTTTCAGTTTATATTCTTCGTTAAAACATTATATTCATACGATTATATTCCTGTTAAAATTAATTTCCGATTTTATTTCTTCTATCGCGAATGACTCATGGAGAACAATTAAATTGTTTTATAAAGTAGTATGTGACTTGAAAATTGGACAGATTCATACAGAATTAAACACTTTGATGTCTTTATTAGTCTTCAGAAGCGACTAACATTTCCAATTAACATTTCCAATTTCATTTTTATTTAACTTCAATCGTTACTCATGAATGAGAGCTTATCTAAATAAGTGTTACTCCAATTTTTTATTCGTTATTTGGATAAAAATGTGTCCAACGCTGATAGACATCGAGCCTCGACTTTCGACTTTCCAGCTCTGCGAGCTCGAGCTGGTTCAAGCCGTAAACGCTACAACCCTTTTCTACAGGCTCGAACCTCGAGCATCATGTGCAAGCTTTGAAACTCAGTCTTTACGGTTGAGCCTTAAAGCTTTGAAGATTCCACGCTTTATACATCACTACCGTACAGTAATGTACTCTCTACAATTGTGTCAAATAGTTTTACCCACCACTTTATATTTTTTCTCACTTTTTCCTAGGTTCCCTAGCTTCCACATCGTTGTCCCCACAGTTATCATTCTTCCAACGTGCTTACCGTCTTTCTTCCTCCTTATCATTCCGTATCTCAAGAACCTTTTTACCTCTTCCATTTCTAACTCATTTCACTTTCATGGCATTCTTTTTATTCTTTCTCCTCTTTTGTCGAATAGAATTTTTTTATTTCCTTTTTATTGAAGTTAATCGATAGTTTCTTCCTTTTAAAAAATTTAAATGACATGATTTTTAAGGCTTCCATGCCCTTTCCCACTGTGAAGGTATCCCGATATTGCCCGCATGTGAACAAATTCAGATTTGTTTTTCCCCTATTATCCATCCATCTTGTCCCACCCCTCATCGCTCATTTTCTATTTCCGCCTCGTGTGGATTAAACGTGATTGGACTGAGTGAGCATCCTTGATTCGTATCTTACCCAAAATTATCTAATCCAATATTTTTATCTCTACCCTGAGACTTATTTGTCAAGGTGACATCGGAACGAATTCCACTCTAATATTAACTTGTTATGAAGAAAAAAATGTACTACAAGTAACACAATATTCTGTATATCTTGTCATTTGGCATAAAAGAATGCCTGGATAATACAGAATAAAACTTGTTTGTATGATTATTTGCATAATGTCTCTCGAGACATTATTTATTACGTTACTTATTACAAGTAGTATGGTATACAGGATGAGACACCTAATACTAGTCCCTAAAATAGCTTTGATGCTTTTAATGATACGAAGATACAGTGGGTGTAGTATGTACTCGTACACCGATCAATTTCCCAAAAAACTTTTGTGTGAAATTGTAATTTCTTAACATTTTTTAGGATCAGTGATATTTTACATATTCTTGAAAGTCTCTAAGATATATATATAGTCCAAGCAACATTTACTAGTTAATATAATTTGTGAAATTAACAAAAAAATGCGAAAAGTGGGTAAAAGTATAGAAGCAATAAGTATTTGTACGATTCTTATGACGAACCATTTACAGTAGAGTTTGTAACGTAAACACATTAGTTTATTGCTCCATGTGAATTAGAAAACATCAAATTTCCAGTGAAGTACTTTTAAACAGTTGTGCGAGTACTTCTTGCTTCAACATTTCTATCGATTAATTCTTTTTTTCTTGTTAATTTCGCAACTTACATAAATAGCTATTTTCTTTTTGTAATCTATCTATTCTAGAGATTTCCGAGGATATGTAGAATGTCATTGTTTATAAAACATAAGTTAACAAATTACAATATTACATAGTTTTTTTGGAAATTGATCGGTGTACGAATACTTTCTACACCCACTGCATATCGCAAGAGGAAATTGTTTGATATCTAAGGAAACATACTATGAGAGACAAAAAAATCATTTCAGGGTCATATATTCAAAGATTTCAAGGTAATTAGCATTTCTCTAACCAGGACGGGGTGTCCTTATTATTGTAATATTACTGATAGAGAAACGAATTCAAACATGTATAATATGTTGACTCCAACGTTATAAGAACAACATCTCACAAGGTCATATAATGAAAATAATTAATTCGGTTTATAATTAACAAAATATACATTACAATTACTATTTCATTATAAATCTTGTATTAATAAAATTTCACTCGAATAAATGTAGTTCAAATAAACGTTAAATAAATGTTCCTCATTTTTTTGTGTATTTAATTTACTTTCACAAAGGCCCGTATTCACAGTCGCGACTTAAGCATTGTCTTAACAAGTTCTTGACTAAGTTCGCCTTACTGTAAAGGTGAGGTCCCATGTATGTAATGCTCGTGCTCGAGCAATAAATTGTCCGTGCTCGCCGGATTTTGTTCGAAAACACGTTCCTACTAGCGAGAAAAAGGTCGATAAATGCAACGAACGGTTAGAACCACTTAAAAGGGTCGATTTTTACAAGCGTTTGGGTCTCGAGCACGGGGACTATTTCACGCGAGCCTGGATCGAACGCTAAAAAAAATCGACCCTTTCGAGTGGTTCGAAGCGAGACCCCAATACTTGTTTTGACCGAGACCGTAGGCGTCCAGCTGGGTTCGCTCAAGGGTCTGGGGTCAAACGGGCGATCGACTCATCAGTTTTTGATAAAATCGAATTCTTTATTTTTCATCGTATCAACGTGAATTGGATTTCTGATGCTTCTACGATCAAAACGATATCTCACGTCGCGTAAATCGAACTGTTTTTAACGAAATAACTTTTCAATTATGCAATCAGATTTTGCATATAATTTTGTTAAAAATAGTCCGATTTACGCGATGTGAGATATCATTTTGATCGTAGAAGCATCAGAAATCGAGTGAAGTTACTTCCGCAAAGTTCTGATAAAAATTGTCGAGGTTGGTATTTTCAATTTTTTATGACATCTTCTTGTCGACCGCCGGTTGCGATGATTGCCCGTTGAAATGCCGATGCAAGCGCGTGGCATTTTCGGGATTCCGTGCTCGTTTACGTGTTCGAGGCTCGTTGTGCCAGTTCGCCTGGGTCCATCAGACCCTCCTGCGCGACGAGTTGACACTTTCAAGTGGACGTTGCTCGTGCTTGCCGCCCGAACATAGATACATGGGACCTCACCTTAATAAGCATTACTTGAGTCGCTATGTATTTACAGTCAGCGAATAAGCTCGACTAGTTAAGAAACCGATGCTTAAGGTTGCTTAGTTGAGCAAATGCTTAAGCAATGCTTGTTTGACGATCGGCTATTTCCGTCGATTTTCTATTGTAACAACTAATTAAAATGATTCTTGAAAATGCAGCATTATTTATGTATCTTATTCGTGCCCGTTCTGAATTGACCATTTGTCCTTATATATTTTTTTGTTTATTGCTAATCAATTATTAAGGGTAGGAAATAAATAATTCATTTTTTGCGGGTGGTAATTACAAACAACCCTGTGAGTAATACCTACAAAAAAAATCAGGAATGGTGATCGGTTATTTAGCTACCATACGTAAAAGTTTAAAAACTGTCGGATTCCTGGAATATGGTTAAATAATTAAATAGAAACAAAAATACCAGCTATGCATACGATAGGAAGGCAACTACGGTCAACAATTTTGTAATTGATATCATAATATTTTCCTTAAAAGTTCATTATTTCTTAAACGATATCCATTGTTTACATATACGCGATATGCGTCGCTCTTTGGATGGTAAAATAGTCGTAAATAATTAAAAAGAGACAAAACTGGCAGTATGCATATAAAAGAAGTACATTTATTGTATTAAGGGGTTACTTATTCGACGACTGTGAATCTGACGAACACCTTAAGCATATGCTTAAGGCCAGCTTAGAAATAACATGCGACTGTGAAAACCGCCCAAAGATTACTGCCCATCTTGATCCACTGTACGTAGTTCAAATAAATGAAGCTCCGGTGTATACAATTTTTCTTCAAAGTGCCTTTCCTTCTTCCTTCACCTGTAAACCATAAGCAGATCCCAAAGGCTCTCCCTCCTACCGTCTCGGTGGCTCTGAACGGTGTTCGCGAGGTTCGCGTTCACCATTGGCGTCCGAACGCAGCCGAGTAGATACGACCCTTACCGCACAGCCATGGAGACCGGATTCCGCACGCAATAGTCTGAGTTTGCGCGGTGCTTGCGAAAGGCGCGTCCTGGCTCCGTCGCCGTTGCGGTCGGGATTTTACTCGTCGACGAGCTTCCGTGCTGGAGCGTGCGCGTCCCATCGCACCGTGAAAGGGAGACAGAGATAAAAACGAATAGAAGCGGCTATCTCGTTTCGCGTCCGGCCCGGCCAAACACCTACGACTCCAAAACAAAAGGGAGTGGACGCCTCTCCGTCCGCGGAAGGGTTAAATTAGGGCCGTTTTTTCGCCCACGAAAATGTAACGATCGAGTGGACCGGTATCAGTCTGAAAATAGGCTCCGTAGCGTGGTAGAAGGGGGGAGAAGGAGAGATCGCTCCCCGTGTTCGTAGATCGCGAGTGAAAGCATCTCGGCGAGAAGCTCTCCATGGCGTGAAGAGTCGACACACCGGTGGGAACCAGTACTTGTACGTGAAAGCTGAAGCTCGACGAGAATCAGGTAAGTCGAGACGCATTTTCCTTCCTCTCTTTATGCTTCTCGGTATATTTACCACCCGTACACGAATTTTCCACGGTCGGCTCGCTTTCTTGGCTCGCTACCGGCTTTTCTTTCACTCGCTTTTTCGTCGCAGTCGAGTAGACGCGAAATTGCTCACCGAGTCGTACCGGGTGTTGCGGAGGTCCGAGACCGGGGAAAATTCTGATCTAGGTATTATAGAGGATTTCAAATCGGCGAATAAAAGATAAACAACGTTCCATCAGATATTCGTTCGATATAAATTAGAATCGAATATTTATACGCGAGCTTGTGTGTATACGGGCGAACGAACGGTGATGTCGCTGCCTCGATCGAGCTATTATTTATTTTTCGACTTTTCATGTTGGAAGTATATTTGTAATCTGTATATATCTGGTTAATTAGACTTATATCTTTCGAACTTCTTAACATTTTTTAATTATTAATAATAGTTTTATCATAATTTTGGGGGATTTGTGTTTATACAGGCTAACGAACGGCGATGTCGCTGGCTCAAACGAGCTATTATTTATTTTTCGACTTTTCATGTTGGAAGTATATTTGAAATATACAAACATTACGATTTACGTAATTAATATTCAAACTGTTTGGTGGTCATTTGGACCCATGTAAATACTTCAAACTTCTTAAAATCACACAATTCATGTTAAGAATGATTTTATCGCAATTTTGGTGAACTTGTGTGTGTATACATGCCAGAGGACGATGACGTCGCTGGCTCGAACGAGCTATTATTTATGTTTCGACTTTTCGTTTTCGAGTTAGGTATACGTGAAATCTATGAACGATACGATGTACCTAATTAATACTAAAACTATCCGGTCATACTGACTCATGTATATGCTTCAATCTTAAAGTCACTCGATCATTAATAACAGTTTTATCACAATTTTTTGGGAACAACTAGTGTAGTTGAGAATCAATTTTATTTATGAATTAGTTTGTTCTTTGTCGATGCACGATGTTTATACAAATTCATATTTTTACAGATTTAGATAAAGAATTGAGATTTATATAAAAGTATGTCCCATCTTCTAAATAGTGTATCGTGAACTTTATTGTTAATATTTTACTTATACTTGCCATAAATGCATAAATATACGCAGTCTGACGATAAATATACATTGACTTTGGTAGTCTTCGTGTTATTTTAGCAGAAGAATTTATTAAAATTAATATACCAAAAGATACGATTATCCGAAAATGGCATTAACATAAAGAGTCAAAACGTGAGATTAATAATAATTTACTCAATATTCAAAAATGATCCTTTATTGTATTACATTCAAATTGTATTTCGCGTTGAAAGGACAAAAGCTGAGCCAGTGATATGTTTAATCAAATAATCCTACAGAGTTTTTGTGAGTTATATTGGACTGCGGATGTTCGTGCGTTTATGGCAAATGAAAATATAGATGCACAAATGCAAGAATATATAAAATATGAATTTTGTAACCCATCACGAGATGCTGCGAGCGAAGAAACAGAAGGAATCATAGTTCTTCGGTTTCTGTCGACATGAATTATAAAATAGAGCTTAATATTAACAAATGATGGAGATCGAAGGAAATAAAGTTCCTTCGATTTTCAAAGTCTGACTCTGCCAAGAAATTATTTTAACTAAGAGAGTGAAGCTAAATTAAGATCGCGACGCGACGCGATCCGGAAAACTGGACTTACTGGGTCAGTCCTGCTTCGTATCAATCCTCCACTTCCTGCATCCCGTTAGAAACCAATATTGGACCCGACTTATGACACTGGTATAATGGCCCTTACCGTGTCGCGTTTTAAAACGTTTTGCCTTGGGCGTCAAGATTTAATACAGATGTGTAAACTAGGTTATTATTTTGATAATAAAAAGTGATATCAAAGGAGGGTGTTAAGAAATGCTCATTTTTGGCATCGCCTGTAAATGAAAAATTCATGCTGGATCTTTTAGAGTGACTCCTAAGAAACAAAAAATATCATTATCACTTTCCCGAGAAACGATGGGAAAGTTGTCAAAAATACGTTCAAAGTATGAATGTGATGATAACGGAACTTACGTATATTTACTTACGTACTTAGAACTTACTTATATATTTACTTATTTACTTAGAACTTACGTACGCGGAAAATATGAATATAAAGCGAGCACAATTCCGACGTATGAAAGTTACAGAATTAGAGTTTTCCCCAGATTAACTTACAACGATCTATGCTTATACGTATATGGAACATACCAAATCAAGCAAGCATCTGGTTATTACGCCGACCATATAAATGACAGCGGAGATTTTGAATTTCAAGTCGCAGTACCATCATACAATATTGATTTAAAAAAATACCAGATTGATGTGGAACCAATTAACGCCATTTTATTTCGAACGAAACTGCATTCACGACATTCAAATAGTTTAAAATACATTGTATATGTACTAATTGATAAAAGTAAAACCGCACTGGAAGTCATACTTGCACACTCATGTGGGTGCAAAGTCGGAGTACGCGTTGTTGGTTGATGTTCCCATGTAGCCATGATTATGTGGTATTTTGGATTTGCTCGATTTCAAGCTTCAATTCATCTGCCTGCTGAGTTCCTTAATATTTATTTCGAAAACGGTTCAATATCCGAAGAAGAAGACGACGAAATGTAGAATATACGTAAGTTCCGTTATCATCGCATTCATACATTAAACGTATTTTTGACAACTTTCCCATCGTTTCTCGGGAAAGTGGTACGGACATTTTTTATTCCTTGGGAGACACTCTAAAAGATCCTGCATGAATTTTTCATTTCCAGGCGATGCCAAAAATGGGCATTTCTGTACACCCTCCTTTGTTGTTTTAGAAAGAAAATTTACGATCTTCTTTTGCTATAATTTGTTACTCAAAAGGCTATAAACTTATCCATTGAGTAATTGCAATCAATTTGAGCTACTAGATATCTCGTAGTTGGCAGTGAATGGGTTAAGGGCTTAGGCTCGACCAGCAAGATGTTTCACAGGAAAGAATTCGGATCTAGAGACTTTTTAGACCACCACACAGTCAGTCGCTCGCTTATCACGTGAACCAATAGTAGCCAAAATAAGGAATGAAATTACAAGCCAATATCAGCAAACGAACAAACAAAAGAAATTAATTGTTTAACAATCGCTAGGCAGAGTACAGACGTCTGTACACGCGAAAGATTAGCTTCAGCTAAGTTGTATTCTAACGCCTTAAGGTCGATTCAAACTATACGACACAGACCATCACCGACACGACAAAACATTAAAACACGCGTTTTAATGGAACTATTCACACTATTCCTGTTGACGGAACGTTCTGGTCGGTGTCTGTTAAGTGTGAATAGTTCCATTAAAACGCGTGTTTTAATGTTTTGTCATGTCGGTGCCGGAACGTGACGGTCCGTGTCGTATAGTCTGAATCGACCTTTACAACTAAAGTTCCCACGACAGAAGCGGTGTATTTGTTGGATGAAGTATATAACCAAAAGAGTCAAAAAATAATAATCGATTAATTAGACATAAATACACAAGAAGTGATATCGCAAAATATTCAGAAAATAAAAATAGAAAACTATTAATGAAAATATAGAGATACATCTGAAAAATAAAAGAAAGTGAAGTTAGTAGTCAGTGGTTAGCCACGGTCATTCACGATCTATGGATAATTCCCTGACGGTAAACAATAAAACATTAATATTTCAGCAAAATCATATTCGTCATCATCGTTTAAATAATAAATATTGTTAATAAGTAATTTAACTATTGTCAGAAATTAATATTGAACTTAATTAAATTAACTTAAAATTAAATACTTTTGTTTGTTAGCATGTGAAAATACAGCTGTAAAAAATTTGTCAAATATTCGCACAGGGTTGAAATAAACATTGAAGCAAGTTTCTGCTATCGTTCATATTTCAGTTATCTTTAATATCTATCTTGATAAGGATCTCGCTTCATTTCCACCGATAGCAACGATCTGCATTTCACTCGTTTCGTTCGACTATGTGGTTGGCTACTTGCGACGCAGTACGACGACGTCGCATGTCTTCCCTTTCACCTTTCGTCGACTGATGGGAAACGCACACTCAAATATCATCGACGTGATAACAATTTTCAGCGTGTTTAAGCTCACCGTTAACTGATACTCCGTGTTAACTCGGCTAGCAACAAATTTCAAACGTAAACATGACGCCGTTAAAGTGTCTCAGTTCTGTGCAGACATCCGAAAGTCATTTTAGAAAACATCGAGTTCATTCTAACGTTTCGTGAAAACTTGAGGAGAGAGAAAACAAAATTCACTACGGGTGCGTGAACTTTTCAAACGTCCGATGCAGCTGCACAGTGTGACGTTTATATATACACACGTTCAAAACAAAATTCGTAACTTTTAAATTAACCATTTTTTGACCTAAGACTCTTTTGAAGTCACTCTATGCAAAAATGCATAGTTTCATTCATAAAAATTGGGATGACTATTTCTTATTTAAAAAAAGTTTTTTTTTAATTTTTACCATTGCAATTTATTATGAACCGATTACTGACTAACTTTTGTTTGAACAATTTTGAAAATCTGTTGAACGAAAATGCGTGAAAAATCGTAATGATCACTATGAGTATGTGAGTATTGAGTATTTTACTTAATTTTTTGTAATTCATTATATATTAGATAGAGTTCTTAAATTTTCAAAAGAAGAATATTCCATATTGAGTGAGTTTTTAAATGTACTACAATATTAAAATCGACTTATAAAAATGAAATTAAAGAAATAAATATTCTGCTAATGGCACGTGTTTGAGAAAAATCAATACATTTTTTCTTAAACTTTATGTTTTAATTTTAACAATAAATTGGTAAATTAAGTAAAAGATATTGGTAATGTTCAAAACCATGTTCTTTTACTAATATTTCAAGAAATAAACATTATTGCATCCTATGCATACTTCAAATTTTTTAATTTCGTCCATTAAGGA